AATAGATGTAAATCTTGAGAAAGTTGAATTAGGAATAGCTGAGCTAATTGATTCTCTAAACAGCTAAGAATAGAAATACATAATTGATTTACTGTAGAACTGAATTATTATCTCTCAAGGTAATTTCACCTGATGCAATGAATCTTAACAGTCATTAATCTATAGTTTGATGGTTGGACCAACTGAAATATTCTACTGGATACTTAACATAAGTTGGTTATGGTTAGATAATATAAGCTGTTATTATTATTGTCACCTTTTAGCTAATAATACCGTAAGCTTTAGGGTCCTGTGGGATTAGTCGATGTGTGCGCAAGTTGGCCCGGTCATCCACGGTTATCAAAAAAAAAAAAAACTAGTGTCACCTTTCATCGAACTTTTGCTTATTAATTTTTTCTTCCGTTGTTTAGTTAAAGATGTAGTGAAGAAGTATCTTTTAAATGATGTTATGGTTGTCTTGGATGCAGCATATAATGCTGCCTCAACATGTTGATGACAAGGTCTAAGAGGGAGTTGTTATCATTGTAAATTATAGGAGACAGAATAGAATAACCGTGACACCTTTTAATGGATAATTCGTCTATATGTAGAAATAGGCACCAATATATGTAGAAAATACAACCTGCGAGCTACCCGGCCAATATTTTTGACGGGATGAGGACTGAGCCGGGCTTCCTTATTAACATGGTGAACCAGGCCTGCCTTCAAATTCACGAGCCGGCTCGTGTGAGCAAGCGGGCAGCCTGCTTTTGCAGGCCTAAACAGCCCTGAAATTCTGCAATTTGCAGGTCATGGATGTATCACAGTTATGCGTCCATCACTGATTCATCACTGAATTCAGGCTTATTGCATCCTAATTCAGTGAATTTGAACGTTGTAAGACAATGTTCAAAATTCATTGATGAATTTAATTATTTAAAAAAATCTTAATTTTCTTCTATAAATACCTATATCATTTCACAATTTTTCTGTACCAAATTATCAATATTCTGTTATTATTTCAACACTCTACCCCATTTCTCAATATCTAAACTCTATTGCTCAATATTTCTCTTACATTTTTCTTAGTCTCTATTGTTCGAAATGGATGTAAATTGTAATAATGTAATGTTAGTTATTGTATTTTTCCAAATGAATGTATAAATTTACTTTTTCAAATGGATATTTCATATTTGTAAAGCTTGAAATCAAAGCATTTGTATTCATCGACATTACGTTCAAATTATCGTATTTAAAAGATTAAAATATTTAAAGAAAAAATAAATAATCAATTTCCGTTTTTCCCTATAAAATAAAAAAGGCCCATGGCTTGGCTCGTGACGAGATGAACTGAGCCTAATTGGGAGGGCTCGCGCGAGCCCGGCCCTGCTCATTACTAACCACTTACGGGGTACAAAGCTAATTATACCTTGATGTAGTGAAAAACCTGAAAGAAGTTTCCTTTTTAAGTTTCCAGAAGACTATGAAAAAACGGATATAAATAAGGATGAAGCTACATTATAATATTACTATATACTGGTGAAATTCTTGCAGAGTTTTGAAGCTCCCATATTCCTCTAAATTGGGTATGCATTTTATATTTGACTGTGGCCATCTCTGAGGCTACTTAGACCTTAATTTGCTGAAATTCTTTTATGATATTGTTTTTTTGTTTTTGCCTAGTGATTTACTGTATGTATTTTATTTTATTTGTTGTTATTATTGCTATTATTGTCAAGGATAACTAGTTGAGATCTTATCTATTATTTTCTCATCAGTTCTGCGAATGGAGCTCGATATACAAAAGTTCTTGCAGAATTCTGGCCTACATCATTTTGAGTTTCCGCACTTCCCTACTTCATACCTTCGTCTTGCGGCACATCGTGTTGCTCAACACTATGGTCTGCAGACCATGGTTCAGGACAATGCTGTAGATGGTCAGGGAACCCGGATTTTGGTTTTAAAGAAGCCAGAAAGTAAGTTCCCTGCTGTTCGTTTGTCAGATGTACCAGCTAGACAGTCTGAAACTGATGAACTTGATCAAATCAAGATTGTCTTAAAGCCGAGGCCTTCTAATGCTTCATCCAATGAGGTCAATGGACTAGGGCATAAAAGAAGTCCTGTAAGAACAGTGGACGAGAGGAAGGAGGAGTATGACAGAGCTCGAGCTCGTATTTTCAGCAGTCCAAGTAGTTCTGAGTCAGAAGATGCATCAGGATGGGTTACTTCTGATAGGAAGAGTTTGAATATGGGCGAGAATGAAGTTTCAATGAACTTGGTAGTTGATGGCGAGAAAAGTCTGGGCAGCAGGGAAATTGGTGCTTCATCTAGAGTAGCCATTTTTAGGGACAGGGAGAAGGACCGCACTGACCCTGATTATGATCGAAGTTACAGGAGGTATGTATTGAAAAAAATGGTACAAGTTTGTGGATAGCTATGCATTCCTGAGATTCTAATCTCTAAATAAATATAGTGGGGCAAGTTAATTGAGTGAAGGATTTAAGTTTTTATTTTCCTTGCTGCATGCACATTTAGATCTACATGTACCTATTTATTGAAGATTCTTTCAATAGTCTCCTCAAAATGCTGTATCTTCTTGTGGTACTTGTGGTCATGATACAACCACCGTATACTTTTTATTCTTTTTGTAATGAACCGTGATATTACTGACGTGTTTTTAATATCTATTTGACTGTTGTTCTAAATTGTCATTTAATAATGTATAGTTCTTCCACAAGCTATTTGTTGCCTTATCCAGCACGCTCAAAGAAGTAGATCGAAGATTTCCCATTTCCCAAAGAATTCAGCATCCTAACTTTTCACTATTGATCCCTAGAGGATGTGTACATGTTCTTTAATTAGTCGAAGATATATCTTCTCTGTCTTACTTTCGGCATGTTTTCACATACCAATTTATTAATCTTCAATTATCTTTGATCCCATAAGGTATATAGCTCCTCTACTAAGCAGTCCATGTAATGCTTATGTCATTTGAAGGCTGATTGAATTTTCAACTCTAGTCCTTTAGCTTCTTTGTCAATCTTAGGTGGTGTCCTCCTCTTCTAATGTACAATTTGTCCACACACTTATTCTTGCAACTTCCCCGCTAAACACAATTGACAAGAGACCAAATCTAAGGTAATTCAGTGAGTTGCATATGTCAGGTTTCTTTTGATCCTGGTTGCTTATTTTTACTTACCCATGGTCCTAGTCCGTTCCCTTTTTTCTCAATCTTATAAACTTGCNGATTAGATATCTAGTGTCAATCCAACACAATTTGGAATATTATTTCATTGTCAAGTTGAAATTTTTTGAGTTTAACAAAAAGATTTCAATTAAATTTCTTTTGTTGGTTGAATACTTCTAAAGCACCACTCGTTTTCAGTTTGTAGAACATTTATAGGAGATAATTAAACTTTAGGAAATTTCATCATAAGTAGCATATTTACTTAATGATGTTTCAAAGTATTACCATATATATTGATGCTGATGCATATAGCCTCTTCGATGTAATGCTAATGCAGATATGTTAAGAAC